ACAATTTTTACACTGAAAAATTAATCGTTGGAAAATCGTAAAAATCCAAATTTTCCGGAAAAAATGAAAAATGAAAAATTGAAAAAACTTTCTCTGAGAAAATTATTTGAATTTTCATAAAAATTTATGAAAATTTCAGTATTTTCCCACCATACATTCCGTAGAATATTCCAATGTTTGGAAGCTTGAAAATTAATTTAATTACTACAAACCGCAATTTGGCTAGTCTCTTGATGAGCTTTAGCCCAGGTTTAGGTGGACCTTTTTCAGGTTAGTACCACTTGATTTCAGGTCAATTCTATCTTTTCAAGGGGGAGGTCAAATTACACCCATCCGCACTGTATCTTATTTAGGGGGGGGGGGGCAAATTACCCCCTTGGCTCCCCTTCCGACCCCTCGGGAATAATCCTCCTTTATTAATGTGGTTGAATAAAGCTATGTCGACGGCAAGCTCGCAAACGTATTCCCAAATCAACGAATATTTGAAGTCAGAGCATCTTTAAAACAATGCTTTATGTCTCGAAGAACCGCCCAGCATGGTACCATTGAAGCATCAACCTGAAATTAAATTTTTTTGCTGAAAAAAATTCGATTCGTCGTTTCATTTTTCCTTTTTGCAAAACATTTTTTTTCTCATTTTTGCGATAAAATATTTTTTCTCTTTTTTTTTTCTCCACGTTACCCATCGAATTACCCACGTTTTGGGGAGTTTGTTCCCAAACATTTACCCACCCACCTGTAATCGGGGATATTCCGCNTTGATTGCAGTGATAATAGGGAACTGACCACTTTCTTTGTCATTACATCGAAATTACATCTCGACTCGCAAGCATGATCCACTCGATGCGCTCTGCAACACTGCAGAAACACGTCATTTGCTCCCTGAAAATGCTTTTCAAATTTGGCAGCGTTCCAAAACTTTTGGCAAAATTCCAAATTTTCAATTTTGGCAACATTCCAAAAATTTTTTCTTCAAATTTTTCTCAATTCCAGAAATTGATTTTTTACACCAAAATACCTTTCGTTTGTGAGTGGAACTACTTTTGGACGCGGTAGCGTTCGCTACATTAGCAGCGGCAGCGGCAGCACTGAAAAGAGGCACTGATGACGTCATCGGTCTAGGGGATACTGTAGTTGATGACGTCACCAAGCCGGGGGATACTGTAGTGTAGTAATAGTATCGAGGCAGCGACATTGCCGTGTCCGTATTCGGTGCTGGGGTCCACTCTTGTACGGGCATTTTCGTACGCGCTGGAGCTATTTTTTGCAGCAATTCCAGGTAAATTCTGAATTTTTTAATAATAATATTTAATAATATATAATAATAATATATAATAATATATAATAATAATAAATAATAATAAATAATAGTAATAAATAATAATAAATAACAATAATAATGACC